CATTCCATTATACATAATTTGAAAAAGAGGCGAAATTGAAGAAAGGTACGCTGCTGTACAAATTTTGATTAACTCAACTCAATTTTGGGATTTAGGGATTTTAGATTTGGCGAATATGGGGATTTAGGGTTTCACATTTTTTTAATTTGGGGATTTTTCTGTTACTTAACTACTGTAATCATCAATACAGAAAACATGGGCAAAAGACATTTGTCAAATCTTTGGTTCATGGGATGTTGGTTCCAACAACAGTTACTCCTCCTCTTCAGATGAAAATACTTTAGTGAGAGAGAGTTTGTCGGATTACGAAGTTCCTCTCACATGGCAGGCACTTCAAAAAGGTTTTCCAACAATTTGTTATTGTGGAGCAGATGCTGCTGTTAAGACTTACACCTTTGGTCAACAAAATGGGAGAAGATACTACACTTGTGTTGGAAACATTTATGTAAGGAATTTTATCTACTTGTCTTCATTGTTTCATTCATTCAATTTTAAACAATTTTGATTGTTTAGGATGGAGATTGCTACATTTGGAAACTCTTCGACGACGCAGTGGTTGAGGAGGTATTAATATGAAGACCAAAGTGAGTGGCTTAGAAACTCGAGTCGAAACATATGAAAAAGAAGTTAATGACCTTAAGCGAATGGTCCTCCAACTTCAGACGAAGGTTAACGAAATTCAGACCAACCTCTAATTGGCGAACAATTAGAGGCGAACAATTATGTAGTAGATTTCTATGTTTGTACTCTCCTTATGTTTGTAACCGTTTATGCGATTAATGAAAACTATGTAAAATTATCAGTAAAACTATGAACAATTATGTAGTGTTACCCAATATTATCAGTACTACCTTTTATGTGAAACTACCTTATATAGTGTTACCAAATATTATCAGTACTACCGAACCACAAATAATATAATTAAAATATATTCTGTTAAAAAAAACGAGTTCATATTCCTATTTGTTTATATAACACCCAAACAAAACAAAATCCTAATATCCTAAATCCCCAAATTCACTTTCAAT